TGGTTGCACTCAGGGATTACGGATGCCGAGATCACGATTAAGTTTTGTCCTTGTTCCGACACGGCCGTCCCTGCAGGAAAGGTGGTGCTTGCCTATGCTATAGTAACGACTTACAATGCGAACCACTGGATGGTCAGGAGACGCCGGGCACCCATTCGCCATGGTGCCGTTTGCGTCTCAGACACAACAACCGCTTCGTGGCAGCCGCATATCGCTCCCCATCGTCCACTCCAGAGATGGATTCCCACCTAATATCATCATCGGCGAAATGCTTACTCCCAACTTACAGCCACATTCTTATTTCCGCCCATTTCAACGTGCCAGACTTGGAATCCTCGGCATACCCCAGCGAAACATACAAGGCCGAACTGCAAGCCCTTATCGCAAGTATCCCGCTCTACAATCATATCAGCTCACCTGCCAGGTACAGAGCTGATAACAAACCATCGGTACTTGACCTCGTCCTTACAAATGAGGAACTCATGATCGACAGGCTATTTATAAACACCCCAAGGGGGTTAAGCGCTCATGTCACCATACTTTATAACTATGTGTGTTGCGCTGAATATCCTGAGGAACACACAGAACTAACACCTGCTATCACACATTACAACATCTTGGACAACCTAGTTGCGACTACCAATCGGGAGTTCTTGAAAGGTGGCTCACTTGATAGCCCCTGGATTTAGTTTTTTGGAAGCTTCAGTAATCTAATCGCAACTGCTTCGGGAACAAAGAGGGTCCGCATCACCAATTCCTCGTCTTTCATCAAAAGTAGAATTCGCAAGCGCATGTCAATAAGGAACGCAGCTTAGCACATGCTTGTCCCAAAACCTGGAGCGATTCCCTGACCCAGTGCAACCACTGTAACATGCTTGTCCGTGAGGACAAACTGACTCACCAACAACATTTGGCCTGTAAGTTTGCCAACAGCAAAAAGCTCCTATATAAGCGTGTTAACAGCATCCGGAATGTGAAGCTTGGTATCCCCCCACTTAACACGTCACTCGGAGTGGCACAAAGTGCAGAAGATGCAGCCAACACCCTACGAATGCAGTATGCCCCAACCTTCCAAAAAGACGTCCACAGGTGTTACATACTCACATCCCTAACCCCAACTTCAACACTCACTAACATCGATTTTACTGCCACAACTGCTTTGTAGAAACTGCTCTCACTACGCACCTACAGCTCTCCCGGAATCGACAGTATGCACCTAAAGACGCTGAACGTCGAAGCAACAAAGCTGGCCGGGCCATTATCGCAGTTCTTCCAAACGTGCTTGAATAAACAAATCGTGCTTACCATGTGGAAACATGGCGTACTCACTCCAATTTTCGAAAGCGGTAATCGCTCGGAACCCGCCAACTATCGCCCAGTGATCCTACTCCCTGTGCTCTCATAGGTGATGGAGGCAATCATCGCTGAGGCTTTAGTAGACCATCTAGAACGCCACAACATCATAGTACCCGATCAAAACGGTTTCTGCCAGCACTGTTCATACACTAGTAACCTACTGATTGCACGCAGTAGTTGGACGGAAGCGGCCGATACAGGCAGAGGGACAGACGTCATTTACTTAGACTTCTCCAAAGCCTTCGACCGACTGGACCACCGCATTCTGCTTCACAGGCTTGAAAGCCTTGGAGTTGGTGATCCAGTCCTTGGGTAGATCAGGAATTTCCTGAAGGATGGACAGCTGCAGGTCAGAATTCGAAATGCGCTGTTCGATCCGATTTATGTCGAATGTGAAGTTCCACAATGATCAGTTCTGGGGCCGCGTCTGTTTCGCGTGTTCATTAACGAGCTCACGCGCTTGACTACTTCAGATTTCTTGCTGTTCGCTGCCGGTGTTAGGATGTGACGGACGATCACCGACCCAGCAGATCACGATGCACTTCAGCGAGCCCTGAACAGAATGTATGGGTGCTCATTCCACAATCTACTCCAGTTTAGTTCGGGGAAGTGTAAGGAGTTCGCATTCGCTAACATACGAACATCACATACAAGCTTGGAAATCAAGTCTTGCAAGCAGTCACCGAGGAGCGTGACCAAGTGGTACTAGTACAGGCTGATCTGGGCTACTCAGAACAATCTGAAAAGGCGTCAAAGACCAGGAACCAACGCGTTATCGTACTGTGCAGGACATTTGGGCGGTTTGATCCCTCTGTCTGTTCGCAGTTTCTTGACACCAACGTGCGACATCATGTGGCATACGCGATCCAGATGTGGCAACCCTGGCAAAAACAAGACCTTGCAGCTCTCGATACTCCACAGCGATAAGCCACGAAGCATGTCAAAAGTGGTTCAACCTTCTTTATCAACTTAGACTGAGGACCCTAAAATTATACGGTGCTGGTACCGGCCCCTAAGTTCCGACCTTATTATGGCCTACCAGATTCTAAGGAACCTCAACCACGTCTGCCGTCACCTACTACAACGGAGCCACAACACGAATTTTAGGGGCCACAAGTTCAAGTTAGCCACGTAATACAGTCGGCTAAAATGTCGACGGAACTTTTACTCTCTTGGTGTGTGCCAGACTTGGAACACCCTCCCGAAGTATGTTCTTTCCGCCCCTACTTTACCTGTGTTTAAAAAAGGCCTCGATGTTTCTCTGACCCACCTACACTACGAGATATAGCCTGTGTGTCTCGA